TGCTGATTGCTGTGTCCTGTACCTGGGCAGGTAAGCACCCCCACCCCTCGTCCCCGCTGCTGGCCCCCTAACTGCGGGCTCCGGCCTCTCAGGCCGCCACTGGGGGCCACGGGGCTGTCAGCAGTAATAGGGGTAGAGATGCCTGTGAGCAGGGCTACAGATTCGAAAACTGAGGCCAAGAGAGGGCCAGCGAGTTGCCCAAGGTCACACAGCCAAAGAGGGAACCCGATTCTGACTGCGTGCCACTGTGCTGGGCACCGGAACGGACCCCGAGGAGTTGCTCCCTGCCGGATCCGGAGGGGGAGGCAGGCTGCGGGCAGCCTTCCGAACCAGACACCCCTGGCTTCTCTAAAGCTCTCTGCCTGGACCCGTGCTTTCCACAGGTTTGATTTCGGGGTCTGAGAGAAGCGGGTGGGGGGGCAGAGGTCCTCCAGGTGCTGCCTAGGATGGAACAGAAACAGGCGTTGCAATTAGGGAAGAGTGAGCCTCCCCGCGGGTGCGCAGAGTGAAACAGTGTTGGTGTGTGTATGGGGGAGAGAAGAAGGGAGGCCGTTGTAACCCTGGGGTGAGCTGCTGCGATCAGATCAACAGATCCTGATATGAAAACACGGTGCATGTCCCTGTGGTTGCCAGAGCCTCTGGCTGGATGGCAGTTCTCCTTGCTGCCTGACCCCCCCCCCCCCCCCCCCCCCCTTCCCCAGGCTGCCGGCAGCTCCCTGCAGTTCGGGGCTCCGTGGGGCTATTACCTGTGGCTCTGAGCAGGTCTTTTTGTTGGCCTACATCAAACACCTGGCTGCCTCCAGCCGGCAGGCTCTGAAGGCTGGCATGTGTTCGCCAAGGGGTGAGGTCACCATTCAGGAGTCCTGCTTCTTAAAGGGGTTTTGCAAAACCATGGGTCTCCTGGGAGGGTCTGGGGGGACAGAGAAATGGCATTTAGGAGTAGAGGTGGGGGACAAGAAATGAGGATCTTAATCTTTGGCTTCTTGAAGCGGTGTTGTCGGCAGAGGGGGTCTCTGCACCTCCCTCCCTTGAGGAAAGAGGCAAAGATGAGCTCAGTATCCACCTCCCCCTTTTGCATTTGCCTAGAGACGGGTAACCATCTGAAAGCAGTGAGAAAGGGAGAACTAGCAGAGAGTGGGTGGAGGGAGAAGTGGGGGTAAACAGCCTCTTCTCTCTGCCCTGCAGTTTCTCCTGAACCTGGGGATCCACGTAGGACTCCCCCCCCCCCCCAGCCCCATTCCCGGGTCTTTCTCTTACAGTTGGGTCCTTGCTGGGCGGAAGGAAGCACTGGTATATTTCATTTCTCTCTGGTGAGTGGCATCTCTGATCTGCTCCTTCCTGCCTGAGCCGGCCATGCATACCCTGCAGAGTCCCAGCCCCTGCCCTGCCATCCTTCCTGGCTTGGAAATGCATGAGCCTCTCTCACAAGTGCTTAATTTTCCTAAAACGGGGAACTGGGCACAAGTTAATGTCTAAATGTCTATTCCAGACCCTCCTCCAGTCAGGACCCTGTGGCTCAGTTTCTGGCAAAAAGCGTGGTAACGTTAGTTAACAAGTGTTCAGATGGACAGCCTGCCTTTCCCAGGGCCCTGGCTGGGAACACCACCACCCTTCCTGTGAGAGAATCTCTCCCTTTTGTCTATAAAAACAATCTATAAAAAGGTAAAGATTAGGCCATAAAACTTTCGTTCCAATCCATTCAGCATCAATAGCCTGAAAAAGTGGGAGCAGCAGAGGGGCCAAGATTAACTTTGAAATAAATAAATCTTGGGAGGTGAGAATACGTTTCTTGGCGGAGGGTGGTGGGAAGGGGTGGGGTGTCGCTATCATAACTGCAGCCTCCCAGCATCCTTCACTCTATGTTCCACAGGGTCCTGGTCACACTCCGGCCCTGGCCTGGCATTCCTCTGGTTTGGCTGCAGGATGGGGCTTCAGGCCTCTCCCTCAGTGGATCTAAGCATGGGATACCACAAAGCAGAACTAGAGGCAGAACAGAAGGGCAGGAAGGTAGAAGGAGGCCGTCGTGCAATTTTCTAAGAAAATGGACTTGTTTGAGGGAGAAACTCAAATGTCAGGCTTCGGAAGGCGGCTCTGGATTGAATGACTACTAGTGTCTCAGGCAGAGCTGTCAGCCTGGGAGGTGTCACGTGACTGCCATGGCTTCACATGGTCACTGTTTGGAGGGGGCTGGTCACGGGAATGATCTTGCTTGGGGGAGGCAGGGGAAGAAGTTGCTAAAGATTGCTTTCATCACAAACGCTGCCAAAGGGAAATTCTAAAAAGATGCCAGTGAAGTCACCAACCTGTGTTCTGGGAGCCAATGGGAGGCTTGTTTCGTAAAACGACTTCCCGAGGGAGATTCTGAGGCTGGGAGAAGGGCAGGGGACAGGGGCACGGGGACATCTGGGCAGCTTGATTTTCTAGCTACAGCAACGGCACATGACACTGAACCTCCTGGCTCCCATCTTGGCCCCACCTGGGTCTTGGGATGTCACCTACTGGGCTGAATTCAAAACGAGCTCCCATTCATTCCTCGCTCTGGCCTGGAGAAGGCAAGGCCAAGTAGGGGCTCGAGTGTGGGGGCTCTGACCTTTTGGTAGAGGGTGGCATGCTGTTGGCTTCTCTGTACTTTCCTAAATGGTGAAATTAATCTCACTTCCTCTTTCACAAGAAGAGAAGGGCGGGGGGCTTTAGCCCTGTTGGGCTCAGGCTATCGGAAAGTCCTTGAAGTCGAGTGTTCTTTGGGTAACTTCTGCCCATTAATTATTTATTCCTTTACCAATCCCGCGAGACACGGGGTGTGATTCATTCCTTGACTTGTAGTCACTCAGCACGTATGAACTCCTAATGTGAACCATGTGTTGAGAGGAGCGAGGAGACCCAAATGTTCTTTGAATGTTAACTGTATTCCAGGCTGTGCGCTGACTGCCTAATCTGCATAATTTCATCAGTCAGCAAACAAAGACTGAGCTGGCTGTTATTCCCATTTTGCAGATAAGGAAAATAGAGTCTCAAACTGGAAAAGTAACTTGTCCAAGGTAGGGAGCCTGGATTTTGAAGGAAGAAGTTCCCTGATTTAATTAGGATGACTTAGTCCAAGCTGGAAGGGAGCAAGAGGAGCCCTCCCCTCCCAGCTCCGATGGAAGTTGGTAGAAAGGTTCCCTCTGGGGCAGAAGTTTTTAACTGAGTCACAGTTGTTTCTCTGAAAATACACTGAGGATGGAAACACTGACAGCCCCCTGGCCCTCACAAATGACAAGTCACAAGTGGCTCCCGTCAGAGCCCCCCATCTGGGCTGCCGAGCTCTGGAGCCCCCAGAGCTGGAATATTCCTCTTTGCATCTATCTTCCTGGTGCCCTTTGCAGCAGATGGAGAGGGGGTGTGTGAGAGGAAGGCAGTCTAAAAGTGTTGTGCGGATCCCACACTCATTCGCTTGCTGCTTCCAATGGCTCCGTGTGACAGGTTATTTTTTTATTTGTAGTCTTGGTTCCCCCCCCAACCCCCCTCTTTTTAAATGAGCTCAGATTTCTGGCCTGTCAACACGACTCAGATCATGTCACTCCCCTGCTCAAAACTGTTGAGTGGGTCCAAATTTTCTTTAAAAAAAACAACACAAAAAAATTGCACCAGGGCCTCCCTCCCATGACAGGCCTTCTTTCTCAACCACATGTTTGCCAGAGAGCTGACCTATTGAGATGCTACAAGGTAACCAGGCTTGCTCTCTGGGGACCCAGGCTTTCCCGGCTACTCAACCCCCTTAGCACCCAAAAGACCCCGAGAAGTCCCGCGCTTGTCGGATCCCCATTCATAGGAACAAGAGGCGTTTGGGTTGGATAACACTCGTTAACTTGGCCTTACCCAGTTTGGTGAATGATTTTGTACAAAGCCATGCCCTTAGCTCAACTCTCTCAAATCTGTTCCTTTGCTTATACTGTTCCTGCCATCAGCGATGCCCTTCCCTGTGTCTCCTTACCTCCCTATGTCCAAATCCTACTCCTCCTTCACAGTTCAATTTGTGCTGCCTCATACTCCAGGGACCTCTTCCTCCTCCGAACCCGCCCCCAGGATTTTATCAACCCCCGTCTGAGGCTGCGCATCGCTTTCTGCTTGTTTCATCATCCTGTGCGTGCATGGTTAACGCTGGCACCCGGTGGTCCTGCGCGCGCAGGGATCAGCTAGCCTCTCCGTGTAGACACAGCCAGCCCGGGGCTGAGTCACAGGCTCAGAGCCAGACCCCTGGGTGTGAATCCAGCAGAACCATCCGCATGGACGACTTCCCGAGCTCTGCGTCTCGGTTTCCTCATCTGTAAAACAGAATGAACCAACAGCTCTGTTTCAAGGATTAAGTCCATTGCTGCGTGTGAAATGCCGGAACCCATGCCTGGCACGTAGCGAAGTCTCAGCCAGTGTCGTCATCGTCAGTTTTGTTCTGCTTGGATTTCCTCACCCATGAAAGCAAGCCCTGCTCTTGTGAAGCACCTAGCACAGCTCCTCGCACAGGGCGGCTACTCACAGAACAGCAGAGCTGATAAGGGAGTGAATGTCTTCGGCCGGAGGTTTTCCCCTGTAGCTTTTATGCCAGCAGGGGATGGATAAGTTGAGCAGAAACCCAAGCTGTGTGATTTAATTGTCTGGTGGTGGGACTGAGTGCTGTGGGCATAGCTTGCCTCTAGGTGTCTCTGTCCCTAGCCACAGGTCTGGCATTGTGGGTTCCCAGACATGGGAAACCGGAGGGGGGCCTGAGAGAGCTGTCAGTCCTCTCCTCCAGCACCTGATGGCAGTGGGAGAGGAAGGGACTGGCGGGCTCACCCAGCAGATCCGTGGCAAGGCGTGGGGGGACGCCAAGCCCAGCCCCCTGTGGTTCAGGCCAAGGCTTTTTAAAACGGGGGAGTGCTGGAAGTTTCCATCGTTAAAGCTAGAAGTCTGACAGGATCCCAAATGCCATGGGAAAGGACTACAGTAAAAATACTGGGAGTCATCTTTTCTGGCCCCTTACTGGGCTCAACACTTCATGTGTACAATCCCAGTGG